CTGTATTCTCAAGCTTACTGTTACTCTTTTAAATTTCTTACTCAATCTGTACTTAGCATATTTTTGACTCTCACTCAGTTTCTGCCAATCCCAGGTCGGTGAAGCTATCTATTGGTATCTACTAAGTCTTTTGGTAGTACTCACATCCTACTGCTTCACCCTGATGTTTTCAACTTTGCTAAAATTCATATGTGCTTGTTTTTTTATGCAATTGACGGGCCTGATTTTTTTTCAAAGACACCTAATTAACCCCTTCTTGGGTGTACTTTTTACTTTCAGTAAGAAAAAACAATTAGAGAGATATTATAAAGAGGGATAGAGACATGATAGAGTCTATAGTGTACTATTACTCAATTGGCATCCCATTTATATGACATATATAACCCATTTATATAAGAAAATATATAAAAAGAAGAATCAATGATCACATCTCATGAGAACTAGGTCTCAATCACGATTGAAGCTTTCAATATTCGTCTGAGTGCTACGAGTTTTATTGGGAGGAACATATTATCATGTGTACTTGGGGTTAGGTGGTATTTTTCGTTAATCTCTTTGGTTCTTTGTGCTTTTGTCTTTTCTTCTCATTTGTATTTGCTTTTTCATCAATAAATTTCCTTTAAATAAAAAGAGAGAAGATTTTTATAAAAATAATAATACTCTGTATAAGATAATCTTCTTTTGAAGGGAGGTCATGGCTCACTATTTACGGTATTGATATGTGATTTAAGGTCATAATTCAAGTTTTGGAAGCAGTCTCTTGTCAAAATGACAAGAGAAGGTTTGCATTTCACAAGTTAGCCTAGTTTGAAATGAGACATCTAGCATATATACACTCAAATGAAAGACTAGTTTAATGGAATGGCCAAGCCAGACTGTATTTTGTTTCTTATAAGTATGAAAATGATATTATTTTAGGGTATACTTTTGGATCTAAAACTATGATTTTGCATATAAAGCGTACTTCAACATTATGATTAAAATATCGTTTTAGTAAAAAAAAAGTTATGAAATTGATACTCTCTGATGATTCTGAATATCATTATACACCCCCCCTCTTGTAGAAAGGTTTCCACGTGATTTACAATGTTTGACTGATCATAAAGTCAACTGATACATATCCGTAATTAGATTATTTTTAGTAAATAAATTTTATATATTCAGATAAAAGTTTTAAAAGTTATATAGTCACAAAAGAAAAACTCGAACTTGATAAAAGTTGGATATAAAGTAAAAGAATAAGAGGACTTTACGTTGACCGGAGAATAATGGGCGAGAACCTTTGAATGGGATGAAGGTTGTAGTTTATAACTTTGAGTACATGATTAGCTCAACTTTCATGCATAGACATATAAAATGATGGGAAATGGACCACTTGTAAGGACTTAATTTAGTTATGCACTTAAGCACACTCATAGACGAGGTTTGGTGAGATTGTTTTCCGTATTACTATTCGTATTTCCGTGCAAAATTGTTTCAACTCATGTTGTTCTCTCTTACCTGTGGGTGGGTGGGTGGGTGGGTGGGGGGGATGCTAGTTCGAGGGCAGGGGTCTCTCTAGCCAAGTGCATATCTTTGCTAAATTTGCGTAGTACTTTGTAAGACATTGGTTGCATTAGTTACACTTTAATACCTTTCCCATTTATAAACGGCTAGCTTTTGTAATGGTTGTATCGTGTACGGTGGTGCGCCCCACATAGTCACACTTTTATAGTTGTGATATTAACTAATTTGGGAGATAATTGTGTAATGACACAATTTGCGTTGAAACTCTAATCCATCGAGACTTACTTGCTCAAGATGTTTTCCTCAATGTGCCCATCGAAATTTGTGATGACTTCAGGAGATTGTTACAACGATTTTTTCCAGAATGAAAGGTGTGAATGGTGACGAGTGTATTGTTTATGCTGAGAAAGATGTGTCAATGTGGTACCTTATATCTTTACACATTATAACTCGATATTAAAGATATATTATTATGGGTTTCTTTTGTCCATTTAACAACCCGACACTATCCATCTCTATTTGGACAGAGGGGGTGCTGAAGTATTTGTTTAACACCGGATTGGTATAACATGATAAATCACTATATAGCATCTTGGATTACTCCTAACGGGTTCATTTTTTATGATGGAGTCTCGAGTCTTAACATGAGTCAAATAAATTTACAACCATGATGTGGGCACTTAGAATGGAACTATTAGTATGTATGATCTAGAGACAATCACTATTTAGAGATACATGTACTAAATCACATTTAGATTTTATGATATTTGTTATCTACGATATTACACATTTATGATGAACTGTTTTGATTGTTTGTATGATATAAATACTTGTGTTCCCTTGGACTTATGTGACCATTAAGTAAGTGAGAATCTATGTGACATACATAAGGCCCTAAAATATTCTCAAGGAATGATAATTGAGATTATGATATTGAGCGATAAGATTGATATATGGACTACATCATGCTTTTCAAAAGTATAGTTGATCTCACGACTATGAACTCTATTAGTTCATGCTGGTCACATAGATATTTCGGAGCATATTGATATATTTAACCGAGAATCCATTGGGTATGTTCAATCTATATGTATATGGAATTATCGGTGTATAAAGTAGTGTAATAGTTCATGGGCTTGAGGTCAATATGTACTTCAGAAAGCATATGAAAGTACCATGACCGGCGCTTGCATTACAATCGAGGTAGACACGACATGTGTTGGTCACTTCAGAAAGCATATGAAAGTAGTAGTTGAGTCAAAAAAGTCATTGATAAATACAAGGATATATCCATTTTCGATTTCGAATATGTTCATTATAGATTGACTAATAAGAATGAGATACAGAGACTAAATTACAAGAGTAGACAGTAAATCAAATTCTAGACATAGTCGAATGATCATGAACGAAAGGACCACGTAATTATGAACTCTATATATATATTAAAGAAAGTTTTTAAGTTCTCACAAACATCCTTATATATATTAAGTTTTTCTGATAAGTCATATATGGATTAAGTTAAGACCCTAATTTGAGTAGTGCTTTGTATATAAGGCTCTATGGGTACACAACAAGTGATTATGCCTTCTGAATGAATTGTTAGAAGGAATAATATATTAATTAGATTAAACTATATTTATTTAATATATAATGTTGAAGGAAAGTTTTATTTGGTAGATCTAATTAAATAAGATAAATTAGATTTACTATACTTCATTAAAATGCATTTATTATTCAAGAAATTGATATTTTCTTTTATAATTTGGAGTTGAAAATAAAATGAAAATTAAATAATAACAAAAACAACAACAATAACAATAATAATAATAATAAAAATAATAATAATAAAGATGAGAGAGAGAGAGTTGTATGTGCCCCTCTTCCCTCACATGTTATTATTTTATTTTATTTTTATTTATTTATTAAATTAATGATAAGTACGAGTACTTGGAACTCATTAATGAGAAAAACTTTAATTGTGATCGGAAAACTAGTTCATAACTAGTATAAATATATCATCCTCCATAATTTATACACCTCATTAATATTCTATATTACACATAACTTTCCAAGTAAAAGAGGTTTTTGAGTTTTCTCTTTAAGGATGATCTAACTGCTATTTCGGAATGGAGAAAACACATCGATATCAAAGGCTAAGAATTAAGTGCCCTAACAAGTAAGTATATGTTTAATTCTTATATTATCATGTATCAATCATTATTTTGTCATAGCTAGAAGATCTGTTCGGGAAGAATTTGAACTTCAACTGCAATACTTTCGAGGTACGTTACATAAACGTTCTAGCATAAATACACTCCTTTCCTTTCACACCATTCATTTTCAAAAAGCCTCCGCATCAAGCTCTTGAAGTACACAAGATTTGTATACTTTTTGTACACTCATCTGTGTACATGGATAACTTGTCAATAATTTTTGGACAAGTTATCTGTGTACATAGACAAATGCACAAAAGCATACAAATCTTTTGTACAAATAGAACCTTTTGTTTATCAATGTCCAAAACTTGCCAATTTTAGAATTGAAGCCAACAACTCTAGCACAACCATCTCAAAACACGCATTCAACTATACAAAGATATTCATATATGTCATGTCTTTAATATTACTAATGCACTCATATTAGAAGACCTTGGCACTAACATTATGTTAAGCTTCAAATTATAACATGACCACTTATTATGTACTTGAGACACTTTAAGCAACACACTTAATCAATATACATAAATAAAAAGATACATAACACATGAAATTCTTATATCACTCGAGTGAAGGTGAAGCATAAAATTTCTCAGCTCATGGATACATCTACTTGGTTTTCATGGTTTATATCGAAAGTTGAAGTATGTGACATCATAGATGGTTAATTAACAATGAAAAAAGTTCAAACATTCTCGAACTCCACTATTAGTTAAAATAAAATAGGGATAATCTTGTGTACAAAAATGGGCTTAGTTAGCATGCATATTAATCGGTCATTTTTGTTTATGAGTTGCAATTGAATCATCTCTTTCTTATAAAGTCTCGACTAATACAATGATATCATATATATACTAATGTCCTTTTGTCTTGCATGAAATGCTTCTTCAAAAGGGATGTAGGACTATTTTGTCCTTCCATCAATCTGCAAACACTAGTAGAAAAAGGGCCTATAGTGACACTAATTTAGTGTCACTGAAACTTTCTGCGACACTTAAAAAGCGTCGGGGAAAGTGGCGGCTAGCGACACTAAATATAGTGTCACTGATGCGGGGACGGTTTTGTGTCAGCAAATAATGACACTAATTTATCGTCTAAAATAGCGACATTTATGCATCAAGAACACATTGTGACATTAATACATCACACAATTTAATGACACTTTAGCATCATAGATTTTTATGACACTTTCAGCATCATAGATTTTTATGACACTTCAATATCACTTGGTTGGTTTTGTTTATTGGGCCTATATAGGGGGGCATACTCCGGAAACCATAAATGTAACTAAGTACAATTCAAACATTTTTATTTATATCTCAATATTTCATATGATTGTACATGATTCATAGGGGCATACCCCGGAAACCATAAATGTAATTAAGTACAACTCAAAAGAACAAAACACGAGTTAAATTTATAGCTAGAATTGAGCTAAAGCATGGTCTACAAAACATAAAACAGTCTTTAAGTGTCAAGCTCCGACAACTGAATTGTTTGGAAGTAATCAACGGTATGTGCTCCATTTCCCCATTCAAATCCACTTGTCCCTGCATTACACCATAGAGATCCAACAATAACAAAATACAAAGTTGGAGAAGTTTTCAAAAAGATAACTTCATTATCACCTGTGAGGCTGTGATAATAGAGAATTTAGTAAAGAAAAAGTACAGTGCATGAGACCTAGACAGAGAGTGCAAGAGAAAAACCAAATAACTGGAGATAGAGATAGAGGGTGTAAGAGAAAACCATTGGGAAACAAACCGTCAATAAGGTCAATTCTATGGCCTTTACATCAAGAAGTGACGTCAATAATGTCAATAAGTTCACTCTTTGTTCCGTAGCTTCTGAGCAGACACACTGCAATTGTATCGTTGCACCGGTTGTTCCTTCACTGTCAGCTTTTTAATCTTTTTCTTAGAACCGCCCATTCAAAAAAGTCAAAAGAATTGGCATAAGTTATTTCTATGAAATTTTGGCTTAACAAGAACAAAAACTACCTGACAATGAACATCATGAACTGCAAGCTAAGGTGGGAGCAATCTGTTTGGAATTTGGCATAACATGATACACACAATTAAAACACATATATGGGCACAATAGGATACTATGCAGTTCATAGAAAATGTCAAATTTTATATGTATTTTGTCTTCAACTTAATACGATTGGTTTTTTTCTCCAAAAAATGGGCTTTGAAGTTGATATTGGTACCTTCGCATTCATCATTTTCTCTAGTGCTCATTTTTTCCAAGGCTGCTTGATTTCGGTGAGCTGAATTCTGGAGGGTGGTTATGGTTTCCGCTACCCATCTCATTAAATGACTCGATTTCTTGTTGAAAAGTGATTCCGTATTATTTTTGTTCTACATTCAAAAAGTTGGTATTATTAAAAGGCGTTTTCAAAGTATGTATTATTATTGGTTGATGAGTGATAGTTGATATTTTTTAAAGTTATTGTCCCTAAAAATATCAGAAGTTAGTTGAAACAATAATCCATATAATAAGAAGCTTTTTATCTAATCTCTGATAGTATATCAACCTTAGTCACTACCTAAATAAAACTTGCCTGCTTAAGATTGATTGAGGGGAGATAACCATTAACCACGACAACTGGATACTCAGTCAAAGTGGTTCAAGCAAAATCATCAATCAAGGTTTTCTTTGATCCAAACCCATGCATTAGATGCCCAAAACCACACCTGTAACATTATATGAACCAAATTAGAAACCCAAAAAACATCCACAGTGAACTTGAATATCAGATGGCTATTAGTGAAATATATACATAAACGAATAGCACGCCTTAAGAAAACTTTCCATTATGAATACAAAAGCTTATAAGTTGCAAACAAATCTTTAATTTCATTTTCGTGTTTAGGTTCAATGTTGGCAGCGGCTTCCCTCAATTCCTGCATAAAACAACCAGTTATTCATGTTCAGAAATTCTTTAGAAACATTTATGGTTTTTTCAATTTCTTGGTGAAGTAAGAGAAATTTGAGAAGATGCTTATCAAACATAAATGATACTATCTGTTCCTGTTAAAACAAGAATGCTTTCATTGTTATTTATAAAAAGTTGCCAGTAGAGTTGCATTGTAAAAATAATCACATTGATATATTAATTCGATCACAGTCTTTTTAACGCTATCTTTACATATAGAATAGAAACTTAAGCCGTTTGATGGAATTCCTCCAAATCCTTCGATGGAATTCCAATAAACTTATGCTTTTGTCAGTCCAATAAACTTCAACTAAGATAACAAATTGTTAGGCCAAGAGTTTAGAAGTAAAGGAAATATAATGTTAATTGCAATACAAAATTATCAAAAGAAATAATATGGACGCAGGTTAGCGATTCCTTTTTTTATTTAAGAGTTTAACATTAAAATTGACTTTAAAATAGAATGATACACACTTCAAAACTTCAAGTGTTCAAAACGTTGTAGAATCCAAAATTTCAGAACAGCTGCCAATCATGCCACACTATAAACTTACAGTTCCTTAAAACTAGCAACATTTGATATCTAAAGTAGAAACTAGAGATGTCTGCTCCACTTCCTATGGAAGAAATGAAGTTGTCCCCTCCCCCTATCACCAATTACCACGTTTTTAATGGTGGATCTTCAAAAGAACACATGGCAATTTTTGAATTGGGGCAGCAACGGTCCAGAACACTAAATGAATTACCAGCCAAATAGTAACACTAACTATTTCACTTATTTACGAGACTGTCAAAATCAGAATAATAATTTGAATGTAAATTCAGAACAAGCCAATCCTCAGCACCTCTGTTAATAAATAACCACAAATGGAATAACACACAATCAGCTTAAAAGAGATCCATGAAGATAGAATAGTGCTTATCTACTAAACTAGCTTTTTATACACGCATAAGCATTAAATCCTCATTTTCACACACACACACACACACACACACACACACACACACATACATATCATACAATATGAACTTCATGCCTTTTTAAATTACCTTATTAGTGACAAGCATTACAATACCTGCAAACCACTCAACCTACTTTTCCCTGCTGCTAATAGTCATACAACAACATGTACTCCTCATTCTGTAAATAGTTTTAAATTATGGTATAATATTCTAAAAAATCATATTTGGTTTCAAAATTTCCTCATGTTTAGGTTAAAAAACTAAAAATTAAAATTAAAGGAGGTAAAAATAGAGGTGTCGAGTTAAAGATCGAGTACCTCCATGCTAGCATCTCCGTTCACCATCGAATGGTAATCCCAAAAGAAGGAGAGAACTCTCTGACTCGGTCCGTCAATCAGCTAGGGCGGCGCCCAGGTCGCAAGGAATAAGAACTACCACATTATACCTGAAGCTGATCGATTTCCGATTAAAAACTAAATCAAATTAGATGAAATTATTGAAGGATGACATAGGACAAATTACATACCTGAAATAGATGATAATCACATATGAAGAAGAACCGGCAAGGAGAAGACGTCACGCGGCCACACCAAGAACGACGGATATCGATCGAGCTCGTGAAGAAAAGTTAGGGTTGAAAGAAGGGAAATAGACTTAGTTGATGGGGGGAAACTAAAGTGTTAAAATGCTTGTAAAACTCCGAAGGCCCAGAATACTCCAAAGGCCCAGAATAGTTCAAATACTCCGTAAAGAATAAAACGGAGTGTCGGTAATCGACACCGATATATTTGTGTTAGAAAAACAGTGACACTTTCGTGTCATTAATGTTATTATATCAGAAAGTGTCACTATCAAAGCGTCACTGTAAGCCCTTTTTCTACTAGTGAAACATTATTCGCAACTAAACCACTTCACAATCTTCTAATGTTGTTATTACATACTCAGCGTTTGTAGATGGAAGTGCCATGATTTTTTTGCTTTCTTAAAATCCAAGAAACTAGCTTTAAATCTAAACATCAAATATTGGCTAATTTTTTTCCTATCATCCACGAAAACCTTCCCAATCTCTATTTATATAGCCTACAACCTAGTTATCATCCTTCTTAGCATATATGAGATGGTGTGAATGTTTCCTTGTAAATATATAAGTATTCGTTTTGCTTAGGAATTGTTCAAGAATATAGAAACCATACTTACCAAAGAGCATGTAAAGGATTAAGACTTCCCCAGCTCCTAACCGGTTCACCAAAGTCCTTGGAGACTGGGGTGAACGACGTGATTTTTGGGACCTTGATGGGGTCGAATTTCTTCGACGATGCCTCGATGACGTCTTCGCCTCCACTAGCGGAGGCATAGAGGGTTGTTTTGACTTAGAATCGGGAATTATTCCCTGAAAAGCCATAGTTAGGATTCTCAGGGCTCTTCGTAAGGTAGCTAAACTTGCCAGTGCTTGGGCGGATCAACGCCTTGAATGGGACCTCCACTGGCAGGTGTCCGCATATGTGATGGACGAGTTATAGGGTGCCTTGAACTTCCCACGCCAAGAAAACGATTCCTCAAATCGTCTGCAGTTAGCATGTTGTCGTTTCATCGTCGGAAGTCACTCCGCCGTGTGCGGGATCCTTAGTCGATTTTCAATTGGGACATTGTTTGCCCCGGAGTTGCCATGGTTGCTTCCAACACGATTGTTGTTGTGTGGTCCAACCATCGTTCGATTACAAAAAGATTGTAGATTAGCTCTCAATGAAAGCACCGATCTATAATTCCAACTGCAAGAGCTAATCTATAAATAAGCTTGATACACATAAAAAGAGTAAATAATTTAGTAGCATGAGATAGTATTATTATTCTAGAGGTGATCCCTTTTAAGGTTATTTAGTGGGAGTATTTGTAGGTATGGAGCTACAATATAATTAGGAGACATAACCGACATAATTGATATTTTTAATTAATCTTAATAGGACGCTTATAACGTGTATCCCGTAGTTTTCGTGCTAATGCCTCCTTAATGCCTATGTGTCCTCAGGTATTTCATGTCGCTGATGGTTATCCATTTTGGATGAAATGCCACGTAATCCCTATGAAGACTCCAACCTCAATGGGATTTTAACCAGACCTAAGACATGTTATCCAGGTCAGATCATGCATGGTTATCCCACTAATAGGCTTGGATCTCCCTATTCAGGCCAATATAGCTCGCTTAATTATTAATCTCATGATTGGGCTGGTCGCTATTCCCTTATTGGGGTAGGGCCAGCGTAAATAACTAGCTTCCGAATTTGGCCTTTGGGTCGAGCCCAACCATAGTACCATCAATCATAACATTAATTCATTTTTATATTAGAACCTGCCAATAGTGGTGTCCTATAGACTATATTTAGAGTTCTATAAAGTTCATAAGTGGCGGAGTCACTCTTGTTACAAAGCGTTCATATGAATACTCAAAATTTTGAAAAATGTGAAAGTATATATATATATATATGTATAAATTTAATATAATTATTTATTACTCTTTAAATTTGTAGTCGTAAAAAGGCGTCGAACAAACAAACCTTGAATTTCTTTAAATTTGTAGTCGTAAAAAGGCGTCGAACAAACAAACCTTGAATTTCAAATCCGCCACTCAAGTTCATGTGTAACATATGGCATATGACTTGCGACCAAATGAACGGAAGTCCACTTACTTGATGTTAGCACTTGCAGCAAGTATTAGTCGATGATAGTTGGAAAAAATGTAAAGACCGTTCATGGACCCCTTCAATTGATAGTTGGAAGATAGATGATATTTATATAGAGTAGAATGTGGGTCAAGTTGGATGGATCAACACAACATTAATCTTTCCCTTTCACGATAGAAAAGATTTGCACTCAAAGGAGAGGGACACCCTTTATACTTACACCGAGAGACCCGCCACTTGTGTAGTACTTCATCTCTTTTAAGTTGGTCATTTTTAACTATTTTATTTGAGTAAAAAATGCTAAACTTTGATCAATAATATATTTATATGTGAAAGTATATTTATAATATCAAAACTACATTATTATGTTCTTTGTCAAAAGTACTATCATAAAAGTATGAAATTTATAAATTTAGTAAAAATACACTGCTTAAAATAATTTATGATCAAATTTTACCTTCTTTGACTAGAAAAGTCAAAGATGGCTAACTAAAAAGAGACGGAGCGAAGAGCGATAATATTTTTATTGAACTTAAATGACTTCGGGGTTGTTTACTTGTGACTTGATACACTTCATCAAATAAAGACTAGTCTTCAACCGTTAAGTCATGTTTATTGATTTCTTAATTACAAACTCTGACTTACTCATTTGATAAACAATTGACTTAATCATTTACCCGTAATATAATAGTTATTCTCATTTAGACACCTATTAAGATGTCTACAACGACAATTTTTTTTAAATCGATTATGGAATAGATGTATGTCAATAAATGACATCATTCAATCACAATATAACACGATAATAATATTAAATGAACTATTTTACCCAATTCAATCTTTTTATTCAACAAGTAAAATCAACACTTTTATACACAAACATCACTTGATTCGATCACAAATATATCTTATTTCAAATAGGCATTCTAATCCATATGGGAATAGAGGAAAAGTAAACATCCATTAGCTACTCTATTAGCTGGATATCCTACGGTCATGTGTTTGTGTGCTACTTCCACAAGGGACCCAATACAATTGAACGTTAATTAAAAAATCTACAGGAGAGCTCATGTCAGACTTTTTTATGAAGGGATTGAACTCTAATGGCAAACGGAAAAGGGGAAAAAGAAATCCACGGAGCCACAACCAGATTGGTCTCTTTCATGCATGATAGTGAAAAATAGAGTAAAAAGATGGAAGTTTTGATAAGTTATAATCATTGCTTGATAGCAAGTTGCATTTGCTTGTCAAACTTTATTTGATTTAAGCTAATTCAATTCATACTTCGATTTTTATTTTTGTTTCAAAAAATAATGACATTAAATACTATTTTACGTGTCTTAAATAAATAAATAAAAATGATGACACCTCATTCTTAAGGGTTCACAACACCGATCAGATCAGTGACAGAGCCAAAAAAATGGTCGAGAGAGGTCTAAACTCAATTATATACAGAATGAAAATGGTGGATCACTTTAGATAATATTCCAGTTTAATGTTTCATATGTAATTTTGATAAACAGGCATTTGTAGCAATAAGATAGATTGCATTTGCTTTTTATCTTAATCATGTCATGTAAGTAATGAGTGAATTATACAATATTTTTAAAATTTGATAAAATAATCAATATTACACATCAAATTTTGCTAATTTTACGTTTAGATAGTTCTGATTTTTCATAAGTCATAACTTTTTACTCGTAATGAGTTACGGAGGCCATAATATATCAAAGCGAAGTTATTTCAGAGCTCTACACTCTCAAACTTTTAGAGGTTCGACTGACCACCCTGACCCCCCATTGGCTCTGCCCATGGATCATATAGTTCATTGATCGGGGAGGATGTAATAAATTAGAATTTAATCACGAACCGGTAGATAGCAATGAATTAAAAGTTAATTTCTATCTTGATAATAATTATATTTGGACTGGTCTGGTCTGTTTAAGTCTAGCCCGGTCTGGTCTGAACTGGTCTGGTCTGGTCTGGTCTGGTAAACGTCTGGTCTCTGTGTATTTTATAACTATGGAAGTCAAGTCTAGTCTTGTCTGGTTTGTTTAAGTCTGGTCTGGTCTTCTCTGATCTATTTAGGTCTGGTATGATCTGGTCTGTAGGGGTGGGATCGGTCTGGTCCGGGTCGGTTTTTTGCTAAACCCATAAATTACTCGGAAGGTCTCGGGTTATGAAAATTAAGGACCGGAACAATGCTCGTTGTATTCAGTTTGAGTCGGATTTTTTATAGACCGGGTTCGGTCCGGGTTCGGGTTGGGCCGGTTAAAGCCTGAATGTGAAATCATATCATTGTCTTTTTATATTTTAAAACCTATTTTTAAATAAAAGTAATTAAAAATACAAGCCCCAAATAATAACACAAATATTAGTCTCCAAAATCACCAACAATTCAAAACCAAAGAAGATAATTATCTTAATATTTTGTTTAAGATGCACATAAATAAATAATACTCCGTATATGATTTCTAAAAATATTACGGAATAAAACTTATGGATAAAAAAGTGACTAAATTTACTACTATGTATAATAAATATATTTCCATGGTCATTATGGTAAACAAATTGAACATATTTTTAGTCACAAAAAGTTACTTGGTCATGTTTTTATCCACCATGATTATAATCATATATTATGAATTATTTATATATTATATTTGTATAATATATTGATTTTATATTAAAGCTAATTGTTTCGGGTTTTTATCGGTCCGGGTTGGGTTATAGACAGGGGCGGACCCACCCTAGGGTTAGGGGGTGTCCGTGCCCCTGCGGTGATTTATACTATCGTGTATATATATATATATATATATATATATATATATATATATATATATATATATATATATATTGGAAAATTCTCAGGTCCAGCACTTTCCGGTCCGAACGCCGTCCGAACACCGCCGTTTGGGGCGGTTCCAGGTGGATTTTTTTGATGAACTTTTTTGAGCATGTTCCTCATCAAGTCTAGTTTATCTATATCAAATTTCAGGTCAAAATTCGACCGGGAAGGCAGTCAAATAATTCGTTGAAGTTAACTGCGTTTTTCTATGTATAATTTGGCGCAGTTAACTTCAACGAATTATTTGACTGCCTTCCCGATTGAATTTTGATCTGAAGTTTGGTATGGATAAACTAGACTTGATGAGGAACATGGTCAAAAAATTTCATCAAAATATTCCGCCGGGAACCGCCCCAAACGCCGGTGTTCGGACGGCGTTCGGACAGAAAAGTGCTGGATAGAAAAGTTATGCCGATTGAGACTTATGATGTTAATATTAGAGATGAGTTGAGGAGACGTTATTTGAGAAAAGGTCTTTGCCAACCGCGTGACTTTAAATTTCCACAAAGTGATTTTAATGGGTGCAACAGATCATTCCAAAAACAGTGGTTTTATTTAAATTTTATAGTTTTGTTTATTGCTATACTCGTGCTGCATATGATTTTTTTCTAGACTAGTATATCATTTCTTTGTTATTGTGCCTCTGCGAGTCACGAGTAGGGATGACAACGGGGCGGATCGGGGACGGGTACACATAAAACTGAAATTGCCCCGTTGGATAAATGTTTGCCCCAAAACCGCCCCATTACCCGTTCGGGTAATTTTTATTGGAACCGTACCCGCCCCAACGGGGAATCGGTTTATCCACGGGTACCCGTTTGCCCAAATGATACCAAATAACCAATTTCTAGCCCTACTCGTTAATGTAAACATCCTTCGTAGTAAATTATATATTAAAAGCACCATAAAACACACAAAAGTAAATGTTCAATCAATCAAGCAGTTTTAGTCCTAAATTCATTAGTATGACAAGCACCCAATACTCTTGTAACATAATAAAAAAAAACAGTAAAAAGAAGAAAGAAGGAACTCGGTCGAATCCTTGATAATGAGAAAGATTAGAAGCCACCGACGGTAGAGCCGAACTGTAGACCTAGCATCCTTTCATCTAGAAGAATTGAAGAGAGTTGTTCTCACTGTTAAGAAGCAGAGCCTTGAGCCATAAATCCGTAATACACTGAGTTAGGAATGTTAGAGTTTTTGAAATGGGTCTTTGGTGTATTATTCTTTATATACCTATATGAGATATACAGAGTACGATTTAGTGTACACAATTTAGCATATATACTTATTATTCTTATATATAAAAAGTTACTCCCTCAGTCCCAAATTGTAAGATACATTTACTATTCACTTGGTCAACTTAAATCACTCTTAATCTTTTACTTTATATATCAAAGGTTTATGAAATTTGAATTATTTTTTGCAGGTTTTGTAGCGGTTTTTATGTAGTTTCTGGATATGTAAATTTTATTTTCTAAAACTAATTTGAGTGTTTACAGGGATCAATTTGCTTTATCTTCGGTCAAACATCGTAAACCGTAAAGTATCTTACTAAACGGGATGGAGGGAGTATAATTTATTAATAATGTTATGGATCGAGTAACAGTGCAGATACTCGCACCATTAGTGAACGAGGCGGTTTCGGGGCGGATAACGGGGCGGATTGGTATAGAACCATAACCGCACCATTATCCATTTAAAAAATCGGATATTACCCGCCCCATACCCGTTCCCCAGTCAAACCGGTTTTCCCCAGTTTGACCAAATCGGTTCAGTGTGAATATCCAACGGGTCAGTCGAAATTGCCATCTCTAGTCACGAGTCCTGGTTCCGCCACCGGTTATAGATTTTAGGGCTCACTTATGAGCCCGATTTTTTGGATTCGGTCCGGGTTTTATTTTTCGGGCCAGTTAAATAGAAAAACTCAGACCAGGAATATCATTCGGGCCGGGCTAGGGTCGGTTTCCGGGTTTTAGTTCGGTTTTTCCCATCCCTACTTGAAACATGGACTTGTGTATGGTACAGCCGTACAATGAATCAATGACACTCCCTTTTTACGGGCTAAAATACATCAAAGTCATTGTAACTTTATTTTTAGCTTTATTTTTATTTCTGAAATCCCACAACAAAAGAAAACAAGCGGCTGCAAAAGTGGACGGAATGTGCTTTGAGTGGCTGGTGCGGGCGGGCGGGCGGGCCTGGATCTCCGTTATCGTCGTTTCACTGTCT